CTTTCTCTGGTGTTTGGGTGATGGCAAAAGCAGCTTCTTACTCTGAATCCCCCTTTAAGCTGACTGAACCATGTGCCAGAGGCGTAAGAGTCCTCCTGCTCTGATTCCCAACCTCCTGTGACCTGTGGAGAAATCACAGTTCCTCTCATTTCACAAACCCATAAAATCCAGTGGGTGCCCTACATATAAATGAGGCACAGCACCCTGAGCACCCCTGGTCCCCGATGGTATGATTTATCATCATATTTTACACCCAGCATGAGGATCTGATGCAGCTCAGCACCTGTGATCTGATGGGCGATATGCAGGTGGACCCTCCTGCTGTGAAGTTACAGAAGACATACAGGGCATCGAAAGGGCAGCCCTGATTGGGGTCCAAAAAAAAATGCCCTGCAAACAGGAAGTTGTGATAAAAATCATTTTTGTAGACCATCACCTACAGCTGAGTCTGAGTGGAGTGTCCCAGGGCACTGGGCTTTACAAGGCATGTATTTGTCTCAGGTGCTACCAGAACATACCACTCACCATCTTTTAAGAGGGGATGAGTTAGCTTGAGCTCTGAGCATGTCGTGGCAGGGCTGTCTTCGGTGCCCCGAGACCAGCTGAACATCTCCAAAAGTTCTGCTGCACTTTGGTCCTGCTGTGGATCAGAACCGCTCCAGGCCACAGTCACTAATCCCCGAACCAATGCAGACAGCCCAGAGTACTAAACCATTCCAGTCAAAAGACCAAAAATACATTTTACAACTGCAGAACTGGGATGAACTCACCGTTTCCTGTAAAAATCACACTGGACATGTGTGAATATACAGAAATAAATGTAATTACTTCTGACAAATCAGTTTCAAGTATTATAAATGGAATGACACAATAAAATAAAATTAAATATTGATATTGAAGCTGTACATCTGTATACCCACATTTAGGAGTTCGCTTTGTATGCTCTGTCCAGGAGGACCTGATTTTCCCTGTGAGAAATGATTCAGTTACATGTCATATTCTAAACCTTATACTGTAGATGAAACTAGCGGTACATTATTGCTTCCTAGTTGCACATGGCCTTTCTTTTAGTTATGTACTCGAAGCTTCCAGTAACGGTTCACAATGTATTATAATATCCATCATTAAAGAAAGCTGGGCTTTAGGGTTAGGGTTACGGTTCACATTTCGCTTTTTAAAAGCTCCTGATGTATCAGAGGTCACAGATTACTCTTAGCCTATGTGGTGGATAACATACAGCACTTCCTTACTTTGGGGCCTCTGTGTCCTTTCTGTCCCTTTGCTCCAGCTATTCCCTGCATGCCTTTCATCCCCTGTGAATGAAGGTGCTTTGAGTGCTGGGAAACCCTTCAGTTCACCACATGCCCCCCGGAATCTCAACGGGCAAATTACCTTGTTTCCAGGAAGTCCCTGCAAAACAAATTCAAATCACTTTGAAATCCACCATGCAGGGAATTTACCGAGCTGGGTTTGCAAGAGGAACTTGAGACAAACAATGAAGCATTTTGGTTTCTTAATTTTTTTACACTAATGGAAATTATATTTGCCCTCATCCCACGGAGACTCAGTGGAAATAAAACAGGATGGAGCAGTGGAATTTACCGAAAGACCTGGAAGCCCTTTCCGTCCTGGTGGACCCTGAGGACCTGCGATACCCTTAAAGAAAGAAAGTAGTCATGACATATCCATCCATCCAACTCTCTTCCGTAAGCTTACCCAATACAGGGTCATGGTGGTCATATCATGACATTTTATTGGAGAACACAATGGATAATGAAGCTCATAGTGTATGACTGGGTATGTGCCCTGCCATGGATTAGTATCCTGTCCAGGGTGTGCCCTGTGCTTACTGATGTAGAGTCCAGCCAGTCTGGAAATATGTATTAGCTAAGCAGTCGGGGATGGATGTATTTCAATTGCGAAATTCTGCTAAGTGTGTGAATGGTCATAGAAAATAGCATCTTCTGTTGTTGTTGCTATACACTGATTTAGATTACATACATTTTAGCTGTTGTACATCCTCCTGACAGAATAAATGGAATGATGTATTTAAACATCATCTCAAACAGAAAGTGAGACAGTCGATACCTGTTGGCCTTTAGGGCCAGGCGGACCTCTATATCCCGGCTGGCCTTGTTTCCCCTAAAGACACAGAGAACCCTTTTTCACCTGAAGTACACACTGGAACAGATTCTCGGTGAATCCTATCAGGTTATGTCTTTTTTGAAAGTTAATGGACTCACTTTCATCCCCTGTGGGCCCACAGGTCCAGGAAGCCCTCTATTGCCAGGAAATCCCTATATAAAATAAGGAAATGCTGTGAAACAAGAAATGAGACGTGGTGGCAGCTGCATCACGGTCTGGTATGGAAACTGCACATTATGGAGGATCCCACACACCCCACACACACTCTTCACCCTCCTGCCTTCTGGCAAGAGGTATCAGAGCATTCGGCCCCTCACTGCCAGACTGTGCAACAGTTTCTTCCCCCAAGCCATCAGACTCCTGAACAATCAGAGACTGGACTGAGACACACTCACACACACACACACACATTTATACACCCCACTACCTCAAGAACTTTTTGCACAAC